GTTAGGAAAGCTTTCAATCTGAGCTAATTTGTGAGATCAATTTGCTTCACAACAGATGGAGTCCTTTCCCTAGAAAGAGAACAAAACTTAAAGCACTTGCATCTCACCAGAACCAAATATGTTTATGCTGAGCATGGTTTTTCATGGGTGGAGGCATAACATTGGTACTAAGATAAAGAAAATTGGCAACACTTAACTTGTGATTTTTCTTGATTTCTTGTAAGTTTGAGATGTACGTGTGCTCCACAAGTGGGTGTCTTTCAACACATTGGAGGGTGACCTCAGCAACAACTCCAAGCCCACCAAGGCCACATCGAGCTAAATGAAAGAGCTCTGGATCTTTATCCTTGGAAAGTTCAATTGTTCCCTTTGCAGGAGTGACCAGCTTCATGCTGATCACCTGCTCGTCAATAGGAGGCAATCTAGCACCTGTCCCATGTGCCCCAACCTGAACATAAACAAAAATTTAGAACCAAAGACGAAAAACTGAAATTCTCACTCTCCATTAATTTCACAATCAAATCAAATTTGTAGACATAGAGTGCAGTCACACAGTCACAAAGGTAACAACATTAGACTTCACACAATGGAGAGAAGAGTATGCAAACCTGAATAATGCCACCAATCTGCTGCTCTCTAATGGAGGCAAAGTTCTGGAGAGTGAGCCCATGTTCTTTAATGGCGTCAACCAATTGCTGTACCCTAATCCCAGCTTGCACCCGAACTCTCTTTTTCTCTTTATCCACCTCGAGAACTTTGTCCATGAGTGCCAAATTCACCATCCCGGAGCGAGACAAACCGATCCCATTGGGGGAGAGACCCGATCCAACGGGTCGAATCCTGGACTTTTTCTCATGAGATTCCTTGACGAAAGCTTCGAGATCAGCGAGATTCTCCGGTTGGGTAAAGTTCCTAGTCTGTACCTCATGAGTACCACTCCAATTGGAAACAGTGTGAAGATCTTCTGGCAACGGAGCGTAACGGAAGATTTGAGCCTTCTTGTGCTTAGCATTTTCTGGGAACGGGAATGAGAAATAGGTAGCGACACCACAGAATAGAGCGAGTGCTGCGTATCCGGCGTACTTACGGAACTCGGCTTCTGAGGCGGTGGGAGAAAT